CTATTTACAAATGGCAAATAATATCGTTATGATATTAAGAATGGTAACCAAAAACCGTAGTTGAAAGTATAATTATCTCCGTTTCACAAAGATTACAGATATCACTTATGTATCTCGTTTCATTAAGAAAGTTGGTGGCAAGAGCATTGGGGCAATTTTGTTAATGAATGTAAGTTTGGGTTGATACTCAAGGCTTTAACAATAAAAAAACAATTTCCATATTTACGGTGCAATGAGATATGAAATGAAATGTCAAAGATATTTCGCGCCCATGTAATTCTTTGAAATTTGATACATTAATGTTAATTCTACTTGGTGATTACGTTTTTCGTCTACACCGTGGTTATACTGTTGGTTATGACATGAAAATAGTTTCTTAGGAAGAACTCTAAATCATTATTTTTTTGTGTGTGTGTCTTCCTTTATTCACGTGGGTTATTCTTATTATGGGATTTTTCTTTCAAGAAACGACTGACGTTATAATTTCTGTTTGTTATTAATATCATCTGTTACTAATACCGTTGTTGTTCATGTCGTTAATGTTGCAAAGTACAATGGTAAGAACTCATTTGAATTTGGTTTGTAGGAAATCAGAGATAGGTACATGATATGACATATAACAGATTATATTTTAAAAAAATAATAATAAAACAAAAAAGAGAGAGAAGGTGGATGTAATATGATATAAAAAGCAAAAGAAATACGGCATTACAAGTATCATTTTTATTCAATTCTTGCAGTCTCGAATTCTACGTAATGTATAACACATCATATAAAATCAAACAGCCTAAGGGTCGTTATGAGATACCCTTGCTATGATTACTTTTCCATTAGTATTTCGTTATTATTAAGAGAAGCGAGGCAATAATTACACCTACTTAAGATGACTAAAGTTAACAAACAAATGAACAGCTATTTAAATAATGACAATAAACAATAGACAATAAAACATATCTTGCAAGTTCTGTTTCCATCACCATGGTTATGAAGCAAGCGATATATTTCATGTTTTATCGAATGACAGAAAACCATGAACGTTGCAGCTGTCACCATTACTGCTCGAAATACACACAGGATCATCAACAAACAATACTTGGTTGATTGATTTTATGAGAATAAAGTTGTTAGGTTGAAGTAACTGTTTATGGTAACAATATTGGATGTAATATTCATAATATAAATCGTTATGTACGAGTATGTGTGTGTGTGTGTGTGTGTGTGTGTGTGTGTGTGTGTGTGTGTGTGTGTGTGTGTGTGTGTGTGTGTGTGTGTGTGTGTGTGTGTGTGTGGGTGGGTATGTGTTTTGTGTGTGTTTTGTGTATGCGTGTGTATACGTGTGTGTCTGGTTATGCGTGTTTTATGCGTGTGTTTTGTGTATGCGTGTGTATGTGCATGCGCACGTGTGTGTGTGTGTGTGTATGTGTGCGTGTGTTTGTGTATGCGTGTATGTGTGAAACTGTGTGTGTGTGTGTGTTTGTGTATGTGTGTGTGTGCATCTGTGTGTGTGTGTGTGTGTGTGTGTGTGTGTGTGTGTGTGTGTGTGTGTGTGTGTGTGTGCATCTGTGTGTGTGTGTGTATGTGTGATAGTAGATGACTGGATATGATAATGAAATAATGACGATCATAATAATGATTATTCGACATGAATATTGAGAGGTACTCAGTTTCCCTTCCCATCTATCTGGAATGATAATATACAAATTAGCTGAGAATAAATCTATCCTAAGCAACGCAAGGGCCTCCGGAAGCTTAGAACGTGATAAAGGATAACTTAACCTCGACTAATCAGTGTCATTATAGATTTTGCATAATCAAACTAACAACTAAAATCTGAAATGACGATTAAATGTAGTTTTAATTTCCATTATTCAAATTTGAGCGATGATTAACATAGTCTTCGTAGTATCATTTAACATTTCCTTACTGACACAATTTGATATAAGAACAGAAAATAAAGGATAAAGAATCGAAAAGAGAAGAAAAGAAAAAAAAGACTAGAGAAGTGAAAAGAATAGAAACCAAGACAAGAGATTATATATATAAAAAAAAGATAGATGAAAAAAAATGCAAAAGAAAAATATATATATGAATCTAAGAATATATTGAAGTATAGCAGTAACGAAATGTTAAATCGTGTCAACAAAAAAAAATATATATATTAAATCGCGTGAGTAAGAAAATGTTAAAACGTGTCAGCAAGAAAATATTACATCGCATCAGTAAGAAAATGTTAAATAGTTTCAGTAAAAAAAAATAATAATAATGATAATAAATGATGTCAGCAAGAAAATATCAAATCGCGTCAGTAAAAAAAAAATGTTCAGTCTATTCAGTGAAAAATATTAAATCGAGTCAGTAAAAAAAAAAAAATCTAATCGAGTCAGTAAAAAAAAATGTTCAGTCGATTCAGTGAAAAAAATAAATCGAGTCAGTAAAAAAAAAAAAAAAATCGCGTCAGTAAAAAAAAAATGTTCAGTCGATTCAGTGAAAAAAAAAAAAATAAATCGAGTCAGTAAAAAAAAATAAATAAATAAAGTCAGTAAAAAAAAAATCAAATTGAGTCAGCAAGAACATGTTAAACCGTATCAGTATGGAAAAAGTGTGCAAAAAGGGTTTACTGTGCTATGGCAGAGAAGCGTGGGACTCAAAGGGCAAAGCGCTGAACATAAGCTGAGTGTTATTGATTTTGTGTTCTCTGTGCAAAGTGGAATATTGACAGAATTCTAAGACGTGTGCCAACTCGTCACGG